TTGGAATCAAAGGGCCCGGCGCTAACCGCAACATCAGTCGAATAGTAGCAAAACAGCAGCTCTGCACTCTCGCAAATGCAAACGTGACGTTGTTGGCGGAGCTGGTGTTTAGTGATAATGTTTCGCCTACAGCTGCGCTGGTCTTTTCCAGAATGTTTAGCAACATCAGGACAGCACTCATTTTGCTGGGTAAAAGCAATGTTCCGGTAACTGTTGCGAGCATGAAACAGTCAACGGTTGACAGACACAGCTGCCGCAGTGCTTTGGCAGCGGACACTTCTGCAGTCTTATGACTGCTGCTACAACATTGTAGCGCGATTGCAATAGAACTGTTTTCATGTTGCGAAACTTTGTTGCGCCGACTGTCTCCACAACATAAACTGTTACCTGGGGAAGTCAGTTGGTGAAGTCATAGTTGGAACGGCGACACCCGAACCACTTGATGGAGAACGGACAGGAACGTAAGTTGAATAGTTCGAATTGACGGAGTTGTCAAAGATGTCCTTTTTCGAGATTTGGGCCGTGAAGGCAGTCGAGCTCCGCGAACCCTGGAGCACAATGTTTGTGGACTTCATTGTAAATACTTTAACTGATACTTTTTTTAGATGATTCGGCTACACTCTCAGACGCCTGTGGTTGTATACTGCACCGTGGTGAATTCAACAGACATATTATTGGTGTTATGAGTGCGTGCAGGCAATTGCCTTGATGAAAAATGACTACAATATACAAAACTAAACCATAACTTCACAGTTCAAGTCACGCCCTGCGTTTTTTACGCTGTCAATGACCATACTTTATTGTCCGAGTTTCATGGCCAGTGATTTTCTAACCGGAAATAATAAAATACACTTGCGTTCGATATATGGAAGTGTTGCTTAAAACGTTTCATTTGGCAAAAAACGTCTCCACTGCTTCGTTGTCCGGTAGAAAAGATACGACATAGCTCCAAATGTTGAGTGTACAAGAGAAACCAATGCGTGCAGTTTAATTTCGGAAACCGGCTTTCACCAGAAAGCAACGTCGTTACCCGACTTAGCTTATAAAAGATTTGCAATTTCAAAGGGCACAGTCGCAAAAAGTATTGATAAAATACCAAAAAAAAAAACGTTTTCTTAAAAGGCCCCCCCCCTCCCCCTCCCCCCTAAAAAAATTAACACGGCGGTGCAGTAATAAACGTTTTGAGGTACAGATTCAAATTCCGCAAACAGTAATATTTTCTTGTTTTAGGTTCAAAAACTACGGGCAACAGGAATTTTGATAAAACAAATTGAAATCCCCCTGTGGAAAGCAGGGCACGTGGGCTAACTACTGACTGGGCACACAAATTCATTGTGTCAAAATTATTATTGTTTTTTTTTTTTTCAAAATATGATAACTTGTGGCGATTGGAGGGCCGAAGATCTTAATATTTCTACCTGTCTCTCGTAGAAAACAAACCCCCAAGTAACATGTCATTCGGAGGATCCAAAGACGTGGACGGGATGCTGGTCAGCTCATTCTATTCCGAAGAGAACTTACGGTCAGCGTTGACCTACAGACCAAAACCCGATGACATATTTGTGGCCACATACCCGAAGTGCGGGACGACATGGATGCAATACATCGTATACTGCATCATCAACAAGGGTGTCCCACCCAGAAACCACGCTGAGTTCATGCTGCGATCGCCTTTCCTTGAACTGCTCGGTGCTGAGGCGGCCGAAAGAATGCAGAAGCCAGGAGCCATCAAGACACACATGCCATTCGAAAGGCTGCAGACCTGCGCTCACGCAAAGTACATCTACGTAGCGAGGAACCCGTATGATTGCTGCGTGTCGTACTACTACCACAAGAACGTTGCGCCTAACCCAGAGTACGAAGAAGCTTCGTTCGATTACTTCTTGCGCATGTTCCTCGAAGGACGAGTGAACTTCGGACACTATTTTCACAACTTGGTGCCCTGGTACGAACATCGCCATGACCCGAATGTGCTCTTCCTGACCTTTGAGAACCTCAAGAAGGACACAGCGTCCTGCGTGCTCAAGATTGCAGATTTCTTGGGAAAAGAGCACGGGAGGGCACTCCGCGAGGATGATGGACTGCTCAGGAAGGTGCTGGAGATGACGCAAATTGAGAACATGAAGAAGGTCTTGAATCAGAACCCGAAGTCGTTATTCAGAGAACTTCTCTCTTTACCTCCTGACAAGGTTCTTGCCTCAGCGGAGGCGTACAGACATTTTTTGAAAGATGAGCCCGAAACTCGTCGTCTCAGGGGAGATGTCATCCGTAAGGGCGTGGTGGGAGACTACAAGAGCCACTTTTCGGCGGAACAACTGCGCTTCATGAAGGACTGGATTGCCGAGAGCACTCGAGGCAGCGATGTCATGTGTCTCTGGAAGGACCTCGACCTTCCATGAAGAGCACAGCATAGAAAACGTTGCGACCCCGTAAACGACAGCAGATCTTCGAGAACACAGCCACAGATGGCATGCGTGCTTAGCCACGCCGCAAAATATTAGACGAGCTTAGAATATTTGCGCAACCACGTTGACCTAACGGGTAGAACTTGAAGGAAAGGAGGAGATGAAAGCGAGCGGGGACATCGGAACACCGAGCTCTGGTTAGAACGATTAGAGGGTAGACGTAAAGCTAGCAGCCTGTTTCTACACGCTGTTCGAACGCGTTTAAAGATTGTGTAGGGACAAAAGTAGCTTAAGCTGGCTTTGCATCTACCCAATAATCATTTTAGCCATATCTCGTTGATCTGACGTCCACTGCGCTCTCGCCTCGTCCTCTCCCCCAGTTTCTATCCGCGTAGGTCGAGACACTCGGAGCTTCTGCCCTAAAGATAAGGACTGTTTCTTCCAGTTTCCCGGCGTAGCTTTCGAAACTCCGTATAGTAGAAGTAGTTTCTTCTACAAAATTATCATTTTATGCATGTAGCTTTCTGTTTGGAGAGTTTCTTTAGCTGATGCTCTTATCGAATGAATAAAATAAATAAACAACCAACAAAAGAGAGCTTCCTGGCTGTGATATATATATATATATATATATATATATATATATATATATATATATATACGTACCAAAAAACGCGAGATTAGCCTAAAGTACTGGTTCAAAGAGCAGGTAGTTTGCATTGCCGCAGTTAGGCTCCGACCTAAGTTTAATGTGATTTGTTCTCTTACGGTGGGCGAGCGAACAAATAGGGAGTTTTAGTAGACCGTGTTTCCCCCTCCGCGAGGCCTCCGCTACGAGGAAACCGCCACTGCGCCTGCGCGCCGATGGCCTTGGCTGTTGGGTTCCGGGTAGCGGAGGGGCCTTAGCGGGGCGGGAAACACGGTCTACTAAAACTCGCTAGTAGCTCGCGCATTAGAGTGTAGGCAAGCGCTTTTTTTATCCATTGTGTGCTCTAGCTTGCGTGACTATGCTCTCGCGTTGAATCCACGAGCGAAAGTCCTGCGTCAAAATGCAGACACAAAACACATTGCTACCTTTTAGATTTTGAATTCGTTTCACTGCGAGGGCTAGTACGCATCATCAGTGTAATCCGATGCTTGGACCCTGGCTCTCGTTGGTTCCACCGTGCTTCGAGTCAAATTGGATCGAATCTTTATTTAACATCGCACTGATGATTGAGGGAGGGGAGGGGGGGGGCAAATAAAAATGCACATTAGAGATTCGCTACAGATGAACATGGAGAGTGGCAACATCCACTCTGGAATTTACATAGGCTGTGTTTACATGGATGCGACTGTAGCGCATCGAATCGATATTTGACTATTTTGATTGGTAGCAAACGGGTAGAAGAGGGAGAATTATGAAAACAGGCTGCGTGAGATTGGGTTCTGCTCGATTCGATGAGCTACGATCGCATTCGTGTAAACGTATCCATAGACGCGTGGTTGAAGCCGTTTCTCCTCTCGACTGGGCTACATCCACGCGCGTGGACGTAGCCTCTACAATGATGGAAATCATAGCAGCTGTTAGGAATGCAGAGCAAACAGACAGAAGGCAACACACCGTAGAGTTTTTATAATGTACGCTAGAGGTTCAACTGGTGCTACTGTCTATGCGACTTTCGGGATGCAAATTGAAGCAGATAGCAACCACCCTACTCTTGCGGTGCTCCTGTGCATTCCTATATAGAAAAACACGCGTGCATTTTGTCCCTTCGCCGGAAAATAACATGGATCACTTTTGTTATTTCGGTCGAACCAAAGAGTAAGTACTTTTATTATCATTGTAGAAGTGTAATTGCTTTAGTTAGAGTATTTTTCTTCGCCAGTGAGGGATGTTAAACTTCGCTATATGTAAGGCCCAAACCTCTGTTCCATAGCAGGTGTGTATAAACGAGCGACGATTCTAAGCCAAATAACAATCGAAAGGAATGTAGAGTGTTCGCAAGATACGCCAGCATTCCGGTGGCGCCTATACATTGCTAATATGCCCGTCCCATCAGTAAATGAAAATGACCGCGTCGTGCATGTTTACATCTTTACGGGTTATGATAGGTGCTTATTTTTATTATTTCCTATTCCGGGCAGCTTTTATCGGGCACTTGTTCTCTGGCGTCTTCCTATTTTCAAAGATTTCCCCTCGCGGGCGATGCTTTGAACGCAGAACAAAAGAACACACACACACACACACGCACACACAAACACACACACACACAAACACACACACACACACACGCTGGAGGCACTTGCACCCAGCATGGCGCCGCGCAAGTGCTAACGTACAACGTCTTATCTTGTGCGGTTAAACGGCAGATGCGCCGTCTCCATTTTTGTACGGCCGAGCTGGCCGGCAGTCCGATTAAGATAAAATGTAGCCCTCCTTGCGAGCTCTTATCTGAGACAACGCCGAAAAAGCCCAAGTTGTTGCTGTCGAAACGTGATAGTGAAGCAGAATGGACTCGTTGGCCGAGGTCACTTGGAGCCGTTGACGGACCCAACGATGTTCCTCTTCTGAAGCAAAAAACGAGCACCGAAAGCTTTCGTCATGACTGCAGCGAAATGTCTACGGCAGCCAAGTCCGAAGGAGCCGACGTACGTATGGCATTGATGAACGCTGTATCGATATAGATTGATGGATGGATGAATCCGGCTGAGCCCTTTGGATCTGGCGGTAGCTTACGCCACCTAGCCATTTTGTTTTACCATTTAAGCTTAGAATATTTAAATGTGAAAACTATATTCACTCCGCACTGCACAGCAAAGCAAGCAAACCCCTTTCGAAAGACTGCCCTCTGTTGGCAACTGTGGAATCCCCGGTCACGGTGGTTGGATTGGAAGGCAAAACCACACCGACAGCAAAAGGTGATGAGGGCAGTGACGTTGCACTTTCGACGCTGTTTGATTGGCTCGTCGGCTCCCAGCGTTGGCCGCCCTCCGACCTTCTTTATCGTATGGAATGACTTGCACGTTCCACGATGACAGTTGTTGCGCCTTCGTGCAGTGGTTTGGACCTTCTAATAATCGGTACGTGACTTTCGAAAGGAGTTCATGAGGATGTTATGTGACAGTTCTTGACGGCAATTCAGGTCGAACGAAGGAAGTAGAGGAATTCATACTTCTTGCTGTGTTCCGCAAGGGAATGTCCTTGGCCCTCTTTTTTTTCAATTTTTATTCATGACCTCGCTTTTTATACAGATAAAAGCGTGAGTATTCGTTTATTTGCGAACGACTGTCTATTGTTCAAGGATATTAACTCTACTAGGGACAACGAGGTAGAGGGCCTTAGAGCGATAAACCGGGGTTCCGGTCTGCACTCGAAAGTGACCCCCATAAGGCGGCTGCCATTGTACGCAAATTTGACCACGCGTCACATGACCAAACCAAATACGTGACGTCACAGAAAAGATGGCAGCGCCCATGCAGCGGCTGGCCCCAACTGGGCCGGAGCTTGTCGGATGCTTTGTTGGTTGTCGTTCGCCTCAGCGAGTTGATTTCAGACGCGGAAGCCGTCATATGAGGCCGGTCGAAAGCGAGTTCAGAGTTCAGCGTGGTGCTTGACGTAGGTATAACGTGAAAATACGGAGGAACGGTGTTCATTTCGCTGGTGAGCGACTGGGATATTGCCACGGAAGAGACAATCTGACCTACGTTGCTCGGACCTCGGATTGATTCGGATACCGCTAGGATAAAATTTAAGGTGACGTTTCTGTGCTCTCGTTGACCATCGTAATCTTCGAGGTTTGCAGTGAAGCGTGTGCAATATATTTGGATCCACAGTTTAGCGACGGATATTGCGTGAGTCGTGCTTGGCGGTGTGCAATCGTGGTGCAGCTTCGGTCAAATGACCGAGGCCTCACTTTGGTTGTGCGGCCCACCGGAAGGCTGCCTTGAAGCTGGTGGTTCCCGTGCCGTGCTGAATGATGCTGTGCTGCTTCCGAAATTGTTCCGGCGTAGACGTGCACTTTCACGGAGCCTAGGTGTTGTAGTTGGTATTGATCCCGCTAGTCTGTCGCACGTTTCGTCAACACAAACGTTTCATCCACACTCTGCAGTGGCTCATTAACAAAAAAGTGGTCCTACATCCATTTCAGTTCATTTCGTCCACGGCAGTCGCCAAACCCCGAAGGAGAGGATTTATTCGGACAGAATACCACTAAAGCAATGCAGCTTCTTCAGTGGTCAGGATAGACTCTCTTCTGCGAGTTTTGTTATATTGTCACGGATCCTTGTTCCAGTCCTATCATCTATCAATATTCACTATTCTGAAACACTGCAGGTCATGCTTGGCTGTCATCGTATGTTCTGGTGGAGGTGCTGGGTACTTTACCCATAGCCCTTCACTCTGTGTGAACCCGGCGGCTCCTCAGCCGAGTTGCCCGAATATGAGACACGGGTGGCTGACTATCCTCCGTCTTATACCCCCGGCGAGCCGTAAGCAAAGTCCTAACCCGAGCCTGGCAGAACAACCGCAAGACGAGCGAGTACCACAAGGAGTAACCTCGGTAATACACTTTGAAGCACCTGAAATCCGAGCCAGTTGCTGCTACCAGGAAAAACCACCGGAATTCGGTCTCCTGCCAGAAAATCCGAAGCTGACTAAGCCAACAATGACAACCCTGAAGCAGCAAACTGCATCCCCTCCCACCATTGTTTGCATGCCCGTCGCAAATCACACTCCGACGCTTTTTCACGCAAGGTGTATGAAGACGTCAAGGGCTGGATTGAACAATATGACAGTGTCGCCCGCCACATTGGGTGGACAGACAACCAGCTCCTGCAGAACTTATACTTCTCGTGGAAGAAACTGCCGGCGCTAGTCAGAGAGCCATGGGTCCTCCTTAACATCATGGGAAGTTTGCAAGATCGAGCTGAAGCGCGCATTCGTCAGCCAATATCGAAGGGAGAGAGCCGCATTCTTGATTCTGTCCAGGACACTGCCCCAACAAGAGCGCCACGGCACTCGTGGAGGGTGTTTTGGGCTTGATCGAGCGCCCACGCCCACGCCGACCTTGATGCTACAGAAGACAAGAACCTAAGAATCCCATGCCCCTCATGTAAGGGACAACACCTTCGGCAGCCTTGTCCGCAACCCCCCAACAACAGTCGAAGTTTTCGTATCACCGAGGCTTCCAACATTGAATGTGCACTGCATGCCCGAGCCTGTCACTATGAACAACGTCCCGGCGTCTCGACACTCGAGTTGTCCAGCTGCTACTTCGACGCCAGCCTCCCAGGCAGCCACGACATCATCCACGACGTTGTCTGGGAGGAGATCAGGAAGCTATTTCCTGCCATCAGTTGCCCGGCTTTTATTTTGACTGCCGAGATTGTTTCGGAACAAGTTTGACAGGTATTTCAACCGAGACTTCTGCGAGCGAAGCGGCATCTGACAAACCAAGGACAACTTACCCCACAATGGCACAACGACCGCCACCGGCTGCCCCTTAGTATTTAATGCCAATTCAGTGAGACACTCCAATGCCGAAGCATTCCCGACATCGTGTGTAGGTCTGTGCTCAACAAAGTACACCGAGGAAAACGTAGGTGATGCGAATGGCCGACCGAAAACCACTTTGCTACCACTGCATGAAGCCGACCATATCTACCAAAGCTGCCCGTACTAATGGATGGGTCTGCGAGGGTTCGTGCCGAACGACCCTCAATCACGTCTCGAGGAGCGACCACGGGAGATTGAGGATTACCTTCGGCGACCTTTGTCCCTGATGACGAAGGTGCTGAATCGAAGATGCTGAATGCCTGATTACCCCTAAGCTCCTGATGTTCATGACCTCAACGAGATGTAAGCACGACAAAGAAGGTGAGCGGCAATGCAGTGACAGTGGATTTTTGGTGTCCGTTGTCGTCCAAGGACAATACCTAAAAATTTGCTGACACCAATTATCTGTGTCCACTCCACGAAGCACACAATTTCCAACTTTGAGAGAGAATTAATGAATGGGTCATACCAGACTGGCAGACTTCTTGCATGGGGTTGCACTCGTTCAACCTTTCCTGAACATGTGGTGCGTCCGAAAACCAACTCCAGTGATGTAAAAATGTTATTTATTGATTTATTCCCTCCAGGGTCCTTCATTGGCAATGCAGAGAGGATACTTAAAACTACACACATGATAATAACATTAAAGCACACTGCTGTAACTTGTTAATTTGAAAAACAAACGCACCTCTAAGCATATAGTTTAATAGTATGTAGTATGTGTTGATGCATTGGTATATAGCATGTCACTTCCTATATGTATGACACAACAGACCATTTGCAGAATCCCATCAAGCAACACAACTGTCACCATTTTTTTCGGCGTAAAGCACACGAATGGGCCCCAGTTCACGTCGAACGCTAATGCAGCATTCGAGTCCAATAGGTGCTGAGCCGAATTCACAGGGATGGCGGACATAACATTCTTGTCGAACAAATGCCCAAAGTATGAAAGCTTGGGGTAATTAGAGTAGTAGCTATTGTAATTTGTTTCAGCAGAATTTGGCAGATGGCAAAGGCTACCGTCTCGGTGAGTCAATACACACGTTGGAGAGAGGCACATGACAACATGTCATCAGAGTGCTCGTCTGCACAGATTTGTCACACACCTTCGCTCCGTCTCTCTGATTGGCTCGAGAGGGGCTGTGGCGGTTGGCCTTTTCCAAGTTACGGTGATACGAAGTATAGGCAGCCGACATTTTTGAAAAGAGTCTATTGAAGAGACCGAAAGGAATGGTAGTCGACATATTTCAACAAGACTGCTCTCCAGGCAAGGGTGAAGACAAATATGAATCACAATATCCAGGTAATTAGAACAAGTAAATAATTGACCGACTAATACAATGCACTCGTGATGGAAAAGAGTATTTCTGCAATAAATCCTACGAAAGAGAAAAAGTGCGCAGTTAATCTATGCACGCACCAAAACAGTTGTTCTTACAGCAAGTCGAATAGCTTTGAAGCAGGTGCCTGCAACGATTTAATCTTCTTCACACTCAATAAAACGTCATCCTCGTAGCTGAAAATAAGTGCACTTCGTACTCACACACACAAAAAAAGGAAGAAAAGCGATCGAATGAAAAATTGTGGATTAGCACAAAAGGTAAAAATCGCAGGAGCTTCCTCGCTAAAAGTTGCTATGGTTGTTCGGTGACGGAGGGCTGAAACAACTTCCCCTAGGCCCTAACGCGACGTATACATTTCGCGTAGATTCTCAAATATTTCAAGGTTAAAACAAAACTAAGAGAATGCGAAAATTTCATGTTAAAAGCACTCAAAAGTTCTATCGATCCTCGATCACATCCCGGAATTCGAGCACCGGTACGGCGATGCAGAGCTGATGCTGTCTCACAGGCGTTAATATCCAGATGATCCAGAGCGATCTTGCGTAAAAACGGTATAAAGTCTCATTCCTTCATATTTTCTTATTATACCCTGCGTCAGCCAACACGAAGAAGCCCGAAGTCGTCGGAAAGCAGCTGCACATCACGGCTACCGCGAACCGAACAAACTCGCATCCGCCAGCTATGGGTGCTGCCATCTTACTTGTGACGTCACGGCTCTTCGGAGGTCACGTGACGAGTGGTCACATTTGCGTACAACATGGCGGCAACCGGGGGGGGGGGGGGTGCCACTTCCGAACTTCCGGTTTATCACTCTAAGCCCCTTAACCTCGTTGACTAGGGACCAAGTTGTTCTGAACGAAAGTCTTAATGCAGTTTCTAGCTGGTGCGATCGTTGGGAGATGAAGCTTAACCAAGAAACGTCCTTGTACATGCGCATCACTAACAAAAACTCCTCTCATCAGTGTGAATACTTTATTGGTGATAACTACATCTTATCTTGGTCCTCACACATTGAACAC